TCTTTGCAGTTGGAATGTGTTGTTTGTCTTTCAGTAGAAAAGTAATGACAATGCTTAATGATTAGCGGATTAGCGTTAGGCATCCATTCGGGAACTATTTAGATTTGTTCTTTAAGAAAACATGAATAGCAATACATGGTCCACCACTATGTCGTCTTCAGTACCCTGTATTTAGTAGTTGCCAGTAACACACTCCTAAGACAGCGATAACAGGATAAATCTACAGTCAGCTGACTTGCAGTTTCCAGTTCCAGTGCAATGGAAAATCCCATTGAACCTATCACATGTAATAATTGCCAGTAGATATCTTCTAAGTTTGTCAGATCTGTATTTTGTGACCCATTTATACTTATGGGCTTTGCCACAGCATGCTGCAGTGTGTTCAACGGTATAATTGTTCTGTGGGAGGTAAGTATTGCTCTTTGTGTTAAAATTAGTATTTGATATGAATGGGGTATCTACTGATACCCCAAGAAATAAAGTATTAAAAAAAAGAAATAAAATAATTCCTTATTAATGTCATCTGTGATATTTTGTTAATGTATTGTATATTACCTCAGTTGTTCCTAGCTAGGAGTCTACTGTTGTCTCAATTTTATGTGTTTACCTGTTAGAATATTTAGGCAATAAGATAAAGCATGTGCTGAAACATATGAAAGATGCATACATCCCACCTACAAGCACTCAACAATATCATGTTAAAATTGACTATCCTGGGAGAAAGCATTGCCTAAAATTGTCATACAAGTACTTTGGTTTTAGTAGGTATGACCTGCTATGAAATGAATGTCTCTTCTGTGTTGCTTTAATACTGGAAATTCATATTTGCCACTTAAATGTTTTAAATCCTTTGTTCTGGAGCTTTTTCTTTTTCCCTTCTTGAATAGGATTTAAGGGAACTAGTTCTTCCTAGTTTTAGCTGTCCCATTGCAATATAAGCCATGTAGTGACAGATGACCACATTTTCTAAAATTGTTTGCTAAAATATTCAGTACTTGTTTAGACAAAATCATGCTAAAATTTTATGGATTTAGCATTTGGGAAAGACAAGGTATCGTGTTTCAGTTTGAGGCATATTGCTTATGTGTCAGCTTGTGGTACTGAATTTTCTCTTTCAGTAAGAATTTTTGTATCTAGAAATCTTAGAGTATGCCTCTGAATATCAATGTTTTTAATACTATTGAGTAGCTTTGAAGTATTTGAAAATAGATTCTTGAAAAAAAAAAAAAGAAATAATGATATTTTTTTAAGGAGAAACACTTTTGATATGGCCATTTGAAGTCACCTGAAACCTATAGGAGTAATGTTTTTGTAACAGCTATTGTTGTCTGAGCCCATTTTATTTAAACTTCTCAATCATAGGTATTAAAAACACCTGCACAAAATTAGCAACTGCCTTGAGTATCTTGCTTCCTTATGAAGACAGAAATAAAACCACTGGCATTCCTTTATTTTGTGGGTTTAAATGTTTTTCTTGCTGTATTTATGCTTACTTTACAGCTCCAGTTATGATCTATACCATGTAACAGCAAATTAACATGAAATTGGGGTGTTGGGGTTGTTTGGGTTTTTTTGTCACATCACATTTGGTTTCTACTATTTAGTGAAACCAAGTTAAATAGGATGTTGCTGGTGATGTTTTTGTTTACTTCTTGTTTACTGTGTTAGGAGCAACTTAATGCTTTCACAAAAAGCTTTGAGAAGGGACACTTCTTGAATATTTTATATGCTTTCCAATACTTAACTGGCAAGAAAAGCTAGTTTTGTTTTAACTTTGTTTTACAATGAGTTTCATTCCAGAAATAAATAGATTTTAAAAATAGGTCTGGGTTTTTACTAACAGCTTATATTTGCCCTATATAGAATTGCAGCAACTGTCTTTTTATTAATGTATTTGAATTACAGTATGCAATACTGTTCATTATGATGAAATTCAACAAATTATTTATGTTGGCAATAATTTTGTGTTCTTTACCTATCTAGTTCATGGCTTAAATGCTGGCATTTACAGTTAATTTTAAAATGCTTCCAGTATTTAGTCCTGGAGAAGCTTCTAAAACTTGGCACTCTCACCAAAATGTTTCTCCATCAGACTTCCTTCCTAGTAACTTTAGGACATTAGCAAAACCTCAGTGTCTTACAGTAAGCAAACTTTCTAAAACTGGAACCTCCCTGTCCTAATAGAATAGAATAGACAAATAGAATTCTAACCATTATTTTTCCCAAAACACGCACTTTCAGATGCATATAAGCAGGAGGAAAACATAATAAATCAATATTTAAAAATTTGTCCTGAAATGTTTAATGGATAGTTATTTCACAATAGTTTGGACTCCTTAGGTCAAGCTTATTCTTGTATTTAAGAATATAAGCAGTCAAAAAAATCTTTAGAAGAAAGTTTTGGCCTCGATTTTTGGTTGTGGTGACTAGGAAATATTTTTTTGAAAGAAAGAAATGTTAGTCTTTTACATAGAAGAATAGTATTGTACTCATTAAACCAAAATTTAAGAGCAAGCATAAGGAAACAGCATTGTTGATAGTGTCACAGAGTACATATTGAAAATGGTTCATAAATAAGTTTCTTGCTTGTTACCAACAAAACCCTACCAAGTCTTGGAGAAAAATGTCTTCATCGATGTAGGCTTATATTATTTGTGGTGGAGGTAAAAAGTATTTGGGGAATACACAGGCCCTGTTCTACTAGTCTTTCCATTTCATTGCTCATGAAGAATATTCTGAATTAGCTTAATGTTCAGATTACAATCAAGCTACTGTCTCAACAACCTGCTGTACTTTACCTGGTGAATGCTGAGCATGAATTAAACTAAGATTAGGTATGAGAAAATAATGTATTTTGCATTTTAAAAAAAAAAATCCACATATATGTAGTGAAGTGAACTGTACGTGGGCACACACACAAATTCAGTTATTTCATGTCAAGTAGTCCTCTCAGGCCTGAGTTTTCCATGTTTGTGTTTCTTCAAAGCTGAAAACAGCATAATAGAATTGTAATTGTTCAGACATCTTTTCCCATAAGCAGTTTAGCTTAAATTAACCTGCTTTTATTGTTTATTCATTGTTGGATAAGATGTTGCATATTTGTTGAACCATAGCAGTTTAAACATTGTTATTTCTGAAACTGAGCCCATGAGTGAGGAATAAATGTTTGCTTTGTTCTTTCAATGGTTTCATTATTGAGTTAAGTTCTGGCAACATAGAATAGATTTGTGGCCTATATATAAGCATCTAGTTTACTTGCTACTTGTACACACTTTGATACTACCTGTTCCATCCTCCCAGAACAGGTTTAGTCTCATGGTAGTCTTTAAGTATTTTCCTGTCTCCTTACAGCTCTAATTTGTGTCTTCTAATTGGGCATCATCTTGTGTAGCTGGGCATGAGGAGTCTCTCATATGGTATGTCTAGGTCCAAAGTGTGTACAAAAAACTGGTGTTGAGATCATCCTTTGAGGGCTTTCCTTCAATGAGGCTCTTCTTTGGGCCTTTTTCCTAAGACATCTAAGGGTACTTGGGGAATTGGCATCCTTACAGCTCCATACCTATGGCAGATGGGGTTGCAACTGGCCAATGAGGTCAAAATTAAACTGGGGCTGAGAAGTGGTAACCAGTCAGAGAAAAGACTACAATCATTTAAGCTTTGCTTTTTGCTTTGGGGGGGAAAAAATGCAATACATATTTTGAATTGATTTTCCTCCTCTTCAAAGAATTTTTATGGAATGGCTAAAATGCTGTAAGTGTTAACACATGAGAGAGATCTAAAGCATTCAGATTCAGGAGTTCAAACTAACTTTCTTACCCTGATGCAAAAATAGAATGGAATTGTAGAAGAAATAAATATTTATCAACACTGTTATATGAATACCATAGTTAATTCCTGAGCAACTGTCAGCAACTGAAAAGCACGAGCTCTTTTTATGGTTTAGTTGCTCATAGGAATGGAGTAGACAATGCAGAAGGGGGAAGTGCGATGCTGTGGCTACCAGCTGGAGCCAATCCATAGACATTTTAAAGGATAGTAGCCTTTACTTCATCTCTTAAATTTGCAATGAAAGTTAAATATAAAAGCATGTGGGGTTTTGAAAGCCCTCTCCTACTCTTGATTTGTTTAAAAAGGAAAATCCTTAACTTTTTATTATAAGCTACTAGTTGTTGAGTGACCACTAGGCTAGCTATTTGAACAGTGGCCTGTGTCTTTAAATTATTCTCCTTTACTGAAAACTTGACTAAAAGAAAGGCCTTTTCTCTCTTACTTTGGAAATTGCCTTTATTGCCACCTACTTGAAAATAAAAATAATATGACACTTCAAGAAAAATAGTACAAATCAGGATGAATAGGAATGGCCAATTACTGCTACATTGCTTGCTTTGTTATTTTTAAGCGTGGGGTTTTTTTAAAAAAAGCTTTTTATCCCAGATTTGATGACAGGATCCAAGTAACTTCTTTCTTTCCCCTTTCCCAAAACACTACTTTCTCATTTGCAATGTCAAAGAATTTTGTCCCTCTAAGTGATTCTATGTCCTTCCTTTTACAACAGTCTCTCTCATTCTGCTACATGGTGCTTGCTAGGGGAAAAAATGGCCATGGTCAGGAGGCAGCTGTAGATTACTGTGATAGTACCATCTTAAATTAGGAGTTGTGTCATGATAATGCAATCGTTTTCAATACTCTTACTCTTCCATACCCTGTCGTCATGTGTCGTATCTTACTTGTGATTACTTGTAATATCTCTGGGATTAACTATATCAGCCTATGCATATTTATAATACTTTGAGTGCCACAGAACAAACACTACCATCTGGACAATGCTGCAGTAGAAATAATTTCAGTTGTATGATCAAATTAATATGTAAATGAAATAAATAATGTTTGTAATAACTTCTGCTAATAAACGTATTTAAGCAGGAAATAGGAGTAAAAAACCAATATTTAAGTAGTAAATATAGGTAAATATGCTAACCATTGTTGCCTATGTTGCACAGGTACAGCTTTTGGTACACCATCGCAAGAAACGAATAAAAATACACAGCAAACAGTAGAATATGCAGTACCACCACAGAAAAGAACTAGGCGGAAGCTAATGGACTCTCCAGTCACAGCTGAAAGTCCTGCTGCATCCAAGCACTCCAGTCTCCATCATCTGGAAGATTCTCTTACCAAGGAAGTCCACCCTATTATGTATACACCAGAATTTTGCAGAAAGCCAGTACAAAGCTGCTGTACACAGACTGTGGTAAAGAAAGCTTTACATCTTGCAGGCCTTCAGGAAGCCAATGCGTGTAATATAGATATGCCAGTGAAAAAGGCGAGTATTATGGACTCCACATGTGACATAATCCCAGAATGCAATGAAGCTGATATGGACTCAACAGTAATTCTCTATGAAGGGACAGGTGAAACAACTGAAATGTCTACCGACTCCTCCGTGAAGGAATCACAGCCGTGCAGCAATAGCATTCTGCAAAGGTATTTGGCCATTTGCCCATCTATATGGACAAGGAATGTTACCCAGACAGTTTAATCCTGTTTATCTTCAGAGCTGGGTTTTTCCATTGATGTCAATTTTATTAGTAAACCCAACATTTTGAAAATCAAACCCTCAATTTTATTCAGCATGAGGTTCAATTCTGCCATTATTAGAAATCAGTGGTATGTTAGTGATAACAGATAAAGTTGAAACCTCACCCTGTTTTACAAGATATGTACCAAAACCAAAAATACAGCACTTTTGAAACTGCTTGTGATGCCTCAGGCAAGTTACTTTTTCTATGCCTTACTTTTCCTGTCTGTAAAATGGATATCTTAACCTCTTTGATGTTGAGAGATGCCACTGTTAAAGCTGCCATGTATGCGTGAAGTCCTGTGAAGCTGCATCAAGTAATAGTACTGAAATGAATTTCTGGTATTGTTTTTCAACTTAACATATATTTATTTATAATTAAGAACAATTTCATTTGACTTCTTCCCAGAATAGACTTTACAAAAATATAATTCTTTAATTTCAGACTTGGTCTCTCTTCATTAAAAAGCAAAAATCCTACTTCAGAACTTGAGAAGCCTTCATATATGGCAATGACTTCTGCTGCTGAGAGAAAAAGAAAGATATTAAGGTGAGATTAAACTACCTCTTCTGATTCTATACAAATGAGTTTGTATTAATTTCTTATGTTCTCACTTCAGTTTTGGTATTATATTTCAAATCTGAAAACTTCTTATACAAATCATCTGGACCTACATATGAGATGTTCTGACTCAAATATGTTTAACAGTTCAATTATTATCTTTTTTCCTGGCAAGTTGAGTAGAATCTTTTTTTACTCTTGGTTTAGGAATTTCTGTTGTTTTAATAGAACAAGTACAAACCAATATCATGTCTTCCATATCTGCTGTCTGCTAAAAATAGAAAGATTACACATAATTCTGAAAAGAGAAATTCCATCATCAATTAAAAATCTAATTTGTTTGAAAATGTTATGCCTTTGCTGGAACACATTAGAAACTACCAAAACAGAAAGTGGAGAAAATGCTTAACAATACTTATGTGGCCAGCGTGTTTGTTTTTCTGATAATTCATTTCTAGTCTCAGTTATTATGACTTCATTCTTGTGGTCTGCTCTGGGAAGAACTCCCATTTTGTCACTTCTGTTTTATGATCCTGAAAGAGGCTTGTTAGTAGAAGTAGAAAAGCTGAAACTGAATAGACACTAAGTGCAATTGTACTTTTTGTGTATTTGTTTTTGTTAATGTATTTAAGGATTAGATATCAAGTTAGTACTGATGAAAGAGCTCTCTTTTTCTTTCTTTTTTTTTTTCTTTTTCCAAAAGCAAAGTTTGATACAACCTTTTTAAAACCATGTTATGAGTCACCTGCTGCACAGTGAGTGGAGTTGCCACCTCATAGGTCTTCTAAAGAATGTTACAAGACTGTTGAAACAAGTTCTATAGATAGGAAGAAACTTCAAGCATTTATTTGGTTTATTAGCATCTTTGCGATAGAAAAATCTTCCTAGAATGTCAGATTTACCAATTTCATGTTCCTGTTCTAATTGTTATTAATTATTGTTCTAAACTCCTTTGCTCTAGGATGAGAAAAGGCACATTTTGCATTTTCAATTTTTCAAATAGTTGATTATGAATTTAGCAAAATAAATCACCTGCTCTCTGAAACTGAGCTAGTTGTCTAGATTGTATTTAGGGAGAGGTATGGGAACTTTCGGAGCCTGATTTATCTTAAATGTTAGGGTAAATGTTCTAAGATAGACTTTAGGAGTACTTTTTTTTGTAATAACTGTGTAATGATTTCCAAACTCATACATGCTTATCTCTTCCCAAAAGACTAGTTCTTTCTGCTCTTTTATCTCGTTCCTTCTGTGTCTCAAACGTGTATTTCCCAGTTTCCAAGTTAGAATACCAGTACAGGAAAATCCCACAACTTTTCTTCCTTGGGGGATTATTTCTTCTGCCTCAGACTGTAAACTGTCTGTAAACCAAAATTCTTTATGGCTTTGTCTAGCAGTTGGTGATGAAGAGAAGGAATGAAAGCTTCTTACTTGTGAAGGAGGAAAGGAATATGTTCTGACTTTTCAGATAGGGCCTTCTTTCCTTTCTTTTATTTACTTTTTCCCCCTCTTCTCTCCTGTGCTTTCCCTGTTTGTAGTTCACTCAAGTCATTCATCTCCTACAAACACTAGAATAAAAATATAAATTTCAGACATATTCTCTACATCAGAAATACAATTTGAAACAGTCGTATTGCTAGGACAAGGGATAAGAGACAGGTCAGTCATAATAGAGGCTGCTTTTACTAAATAGCATTACATTCTTACTGGCATAAGTTCTCATCCAAGAAGCACACATGAATAGATATTAGGACTGGCACAAGGCAGGTCTTAGTCTTTACTGCTTGCTATATATTTTCATTTAGGCAGAAAATTATTATTAAGAAAACTAGTGCAAGTTAGGGAACTATAAAGTGGGAATAATGCAATATCATTAGAGGAATGGGAAAAGCACAGAAACTTGGGACATAAATAGAATTACTTTGTTTATGAGGCTGTCTTACAGAGTAGAACCAGGGAAGATAGCGAGGCAAGCATAAAAGGGTGAGATCACAGATAGGTTCATAATTTTCACTGTAGATCTTGAGTCCATCACATAAAAGGCTATAAAATATAGAGGTTTTGTCTTAATGAATTTGAAGCTATAACAGCTTTCTTGCAGCTTAACTAAAATGTATTGTCTGCTATGAAGCCACCCCCTCTAACTGTGGTGGAGGCTGTAGAAAAATTATTGCAGCAATAAAAAATGTGGTTTGTTCAATAAACACAGCTTGGTCATTTCAAGGATTTTGTACATGCATTAAGATTATATCTTAGTACAATTTGTGTGCAATGACCATCAAACTGGTTTCTGTGGTTTCCAAAAAAAATCATGGCATTGGTCTGCATTTTAACATTAAGTGGCAACACTAGTTCTTATTTTCACAATTGAAACATTCTTGTAAATTTTCAAAAGGAAAAAGGGGAATAATATCCGTATATATACATCATAAATGAAGTAGTTTATTCTTTGCATTCTGTTATGAACTGCCAATACTAGATAATGATAATATCATTTAATGTATTTCCACATTGCAAGGCATAAGCTTAATTGTTTTATTGAAAGCAAACTCTTTCCTGGCTATTTCTCCAGTTCTACATCGAACACTGGGTTAGGCAGCCAGAGAGACCCTGTTTCTGCAAAACGCATTCGACAAGAGGTCTTGTTAAGCCATAGAGCTTTGCGAGTACCCAAAATGGCAGGTAAGTGTCAAAACTTGAATGTGTGACACTGCATTAGTAACTGTGTTTGTACAGGAGGTCCAAAATTAATGTTGATACTCAAGGTTTTGTCAATTTAACAGCATGTGTTGCTGTGATCAGTACACTAAGCCCATTGGTTTGAATAGTATATCCATTCACTAAAAATAATAAATAAAGCCTTCAACATCTAACCAGTTATCTAGATGGTATCTAATCAAAACTCAATTTTACTACAAGCTTGTTGGGAAAACCTTTTCCCAAGAGTTAAGGTCTTCCACCAAAAATGGTTTGCGTACTTGTTGGGAAATTTGGTGAACTTTATTACCAATTTTATCTTTTCCAAGTGTGGTTTATCCAGAAATAAAATCCTCTAATCATTTCCATACCTGTTTTTAACTGCTTGCTTTGTTTTATAACACTGCACTGATTTGTTTTACAGATATGATTTTTTTCAGAGGATTATTACTTAAACTTTGAGGCTATTTTGGGCCAACACAGTAGCTGAGGAAAAATTCTTTTAAAGCAATACTTAGGAATAATTTTGCTTCTAACAGATTGCTGATAGTAATACTATCAGGTGGTATTCTGTGAAAGTCAGCTACAATTATATGGCTTCTCTGTGAGGTATATAAATCTAACAAAATCAGTTAAAATAATTTTTTCAGTAGATGTCTACAAAGGTCTTTGTTCACAACTTTCCAAAAACTCCTGCCTTTCCTAGTGCATGGCACTAAGTTGCTTGGCACCTGCTTGGCACTAAATCCTTACAATTTTCCTTTTATCTCTACCCACTTGTCTCTTTTTCCTCTCTATCTTCAGAAATACAGTTAATGATCTTTCTTAGTGCAGCTTCTTGGGAAGTTTAGAGGAGATCAAAGATTGTTTAAAGTTTTAGTCTGCTGTTATGAAATAGTCCAATTGTGTAGCTTTTCCCAGTGGCATAGGCAATGCACCAGTTTTACAGCACATACGTGTTTTTATGTAAGAACTCATGTGAGGGAGCAAGTACCTATGAACATGTATTATTCTCCATTCACAAGAAATGTTGAGATTCTATTACAATAAACTTTCTGAAAAGTGTAAATCTGAGGCTAAAACATTGTCTGACCAATAGTCACTTATTTTGCAAGGTGCATACACAGTTACATCAGTATCAATTTCTACTACTAAAGACTGGGTTATTGAAGTTACCAAAATCAATAATTACTCTGTTGTTATTAAGAAACTATGTAATGAAGCACCACATTCTGAAATAGAGAATAGATTTTTGATTCTTCAAAGTTTAACTGAATGTAAAATATGTTTTGTTTTCAAAAGCATGCATTACAGAAGAAGAATGAAATATGACCAAATCCATAAGAGGAAGAGCTGCTTTTGGATTAAATAGACAAAGTGTTCTCTAATGACACAGTGTTCATTTTTCAGTACTGTTCTATAGTAATAAGGATTAATAAAATTTTCATATATTTCTACATTTTTTTATAGACCACTGTGCCTTTTAAATAGCATCTCATGTCAATTGAGGGTCTAGTCATTGGACTTTCTAGGCAATTTGCACACTGGATTACTAAACTGAGAGGGATTACATTTTTGCATATCAAAATTAGGCTTTCAATAAGGACAAGAAATACGTGTAAAAAAATCTTAAACATGCTCTGAAAAGGAGGTCCAGGTAGGCCAAATTCTGCTTATGTTTATTGAATGAATGTCTCTTATTTCTAATAACATTTCTTTCTTTACTAGGAATTAAAACAAGGAGCTGGAAGCAAGAACAAGATGTACGAAGAAACCTAGTTAGAAGCCTTTCTGAAGGAAACGTAGCATTGGGTGTTAAATCAAGGACACCAAAAAATCTGTTACTTCATGTTTGTAAGAAAAAAAGTAGGATTTAGTTCTGAGTTCATCCATATTTCAAGCACGATTGATGGATAACAAATGAGAACAGGGTGACTTCCATTTTCTTCTTGTGAATTATTTTGTGTTAAAGATGTCTCTCTCAGTAATGCACTATTTCCGTAAGAACTACTTTTTGGAAATACAAGGATTTTGTTAAATTCTCAAATAAAATTTGTTCTTTTTTTTGTCTCCTGTTAAACCTTACCAATGTCTTTTATATATTAACAAATGAATAAGAAATTTCATTTGGACTTGGGAATGGAGAAGTGCACAGTATACCGTTTGCCATAATCTTTGTGACCATTTCCCCTGTGTTTGACTAACAGATTAATACTTCAGACAATGCAAGCCTTTAAGGGGATCAGTGGTGCTCTAATTTTTAGATGCTACTTTAAATTGCTTATCTACAGTCAGTCTTAATTTTCTAATGCGAATTTTGTGATACAAAAGTTAGAAAAATAGTTTTGACCTGCTAAGTTTTTTTCACTGAAACTTTGTAACATTAAAATTGTTTTTCATTTGGAAGCAAGTCAAACAGATGCTAATATTAAAATGCATTCATGCTTAGCATTAGGATGCCAGTTTATTCTTAGATAAGTTATCATGGATAGATACTACCAATGTAGTACCAGGAGACAGAAAAATATTTATGAAAAGTGTTTTTAATGAAGTACTATATCTAAATTTTTTTTAGCCTTTCTATTTTTAGACTGTTACTTGGTTGTAGATGCTCTTGTTTTGTTTTTCTGCTTTTTAATTCAGTTGTAAATAGCATAATTATGTTAATTACTTTGAATAAATTTTTAGTTTTAATAAGAGCAATATAATGTGAATTCAACTTCTAGAAAAAAATTTACTTTTTTGCCTCTTCTATTATGAAAAATGTCTGAATTAATTTTGACAAGTGTTGTTATAAGTAGACATTCATATTTTATCTTCTGATAAATGATTAATATTCAGAGACAAAATAGTTATATATAGTTGTATTGTAGCCTTGACAGCATGCCCACCCTTGGTACATTGTTCTAGTCTTTGGTCTGTGCAAATGTAAGTGTATACATGATGTTCCTCAAACTCAGGAGGACTAGAGGAAGAAGTCCAGTAACTAGTTCCAGTGGTGTCAAATGACTGTCTAAAGTCAGTTAAGTAAGTTGAAGTACGCTGCAGAAGAATGTTCTGGCTTTCAGCAATAGTAAGGGGCTCAAAAGAGCTTTACAGGTTATTATTAGTATTCTATCACAAGCTTTCCTGTGATAGCAGAGAACTGGACTCCATGACCTAATAGCTTTTATCAAATTTGTTCATAAAGTGTTTCAGTATTCCAAATGTTTACACTTTTATTTTTGTTCTCTACAGTCTTTGATATTTAGACAAACTAATATAAACCTTCTTCGCAGTTATATCTCTCCCTAGCTATCAAATGTTGGCCTGTTTATTCTTGACACACTGGAGGGGCATTTTTCAGAAGGCTTCTGAAGAAAGAAATGGTAACTGCCATAAGCTTTCAGAACCACTTGTGGGAGGAGCAGACAACATTGCAGAGGCTGACTTCATCAGGGAAGTTCAAAGAGGAAGGAATGATTCCTTGAGAAATAGGCATTGCTAGTTAAAAATAATAAGAAAAATGGAATCCTGCTATTTGCATTCTAAAGAGAGCATAGGTGATATAGTTGTGGTGAGCATGGGGTCATGCTGATAGCCTAATGAGGACTGAGAAAATATTGGCTGTGGAAGAGGTTTTTATGAACAAAGTTCTAAACATCAGAAAAGCCTAAAAGCTAGAATTTGGGACTTGACCACATCTCAGCCAGGTGATATAAGTAACTTCAGTAGAATGGGGTGGGGTGGTGTAATTTTAGTATTTCTCTATTATGATGAACAATAAGATTTTGGAATTAATTTTAACTTCTTATTATTTTGGCACCCAGTACAGCTAAAATTGTAGAGACCATACATTTTTGATTTATGGGTTTTCTTTCAAATTCTCAGTGTTTAATATAAAATGTGCACAGGGAGCTTTTGTTCATACTGCTTCACATCTGCAAGAGGCATGTTGGGCTTTGCTTATAAATGTGGTTGTAATGTGCATTGTTCTTGTGGCATGTAAGACTTGCACATAAAAGTTCCTAGCAATTTTGGAAGGTTTTTAGACAAGCTTGTGCATGCAACATTTTGATACTCAGTCAAAACATAGAACTGATGAGATCTGATCTTTTCTTAATGTGTTTTGCATACCGCTGAATGGAATTGATTCAGTTGACTTGCAACACTTCCAGGGACTTCAAAAAAAAAAAAAAAATAATTTGAGAGAAAATTAGCACACTGAGATGAGATGTGACTCCCGTTCCTATGTGCTAACCTGATATGTTGATTACAAGTTTGTTAGCTAGGTATGTATGTACCATTTATAACAAGCATAAATGAAATTTTTCCAAAAATTATAACAGATCAAAGCAGGATTTTCATATTTCAGGTTGCTGTTGATTAATATTTTGTTCTATTAATTGTACTTTTATGTTATATATTATGAACATATATAGACTTCATAAGCAGAAGGTGCTTTGGAGCACATTCCACACACAGTTCTGGTACAGAACTTTTCAGTGCCTAATAAGTTTTTTGTCAGATTGCCAGTTTCTTTTTGAGTAGAAAGCAAATAGTATTTGGGAAGCAGAGGAGGTATAATATAACTCATTTCATTTTCTTGCCAATCTACATTGCCTGTTACCTGTTGGCCTGCCTTTACAAACTAATTTAAGTAATAGCCTTTATCTGAAGTATACATTTAATTGATTTCACTCTGTTATACCATGCAGTGTTAAATCATGCCAGATGGGATGTAACGGAATATTGCACAACATAACATGATTCAGGCTGAATCAAGAATTCAAATGATTTGGGTCAATTTAGTCTTGTTCAGTGTAAAAAAAAAAAAGCAGTAGTTTTAAAATAAATTCACTTGAAGAAATGTTGTACTCCTTAACTATTTTAGTCTGACATCTTGGATACCTAATACTTCATATGTACCAAGTGAATCATACTTGCTATGTGAGACACATGACAATTTCTGTATGTTTGGGCATATACATGGCAATAGGAGTACTGATCTTGGCTCACCTTGCTTTGTTATTTAATACAGATACCTACTTTATTTAAAACAAATATTAGCCTGAGTCAAAAATTAGGTCTAATATTCCTGGCTTGGTCTAATTAATAGAACACTTATGAGTTCAGTGCTGCTTATCAGCATTGCGGAAAGGAGTCTCTCATACACAGATGTCTTATTTTAGTGTTTTGAAAAGTTCATGTGCTAAATTATTGAAGTATAAAACTCTCAGAAAATCTGTAGATAGATAAATTTTAATGATATGTAGCACATTTTGGAGAAGGGCAAGAAGAAAACTATTTTGTAACATTAACTCTTTGTAAAATTTTCCTTCTCTTTAGAATATTTCCGAGTATATTTTATAATACAAATCTCAAGCCTATTTTTATAATAAGAGGAGGTACCTGAGTTGTTGCCATAATACCCTCTGTGTGTGTGTAATTGGATGTGAATAGTATTGACTTTAATATGGTAGACTTCATGTTACTGTTATAAATAACCTTGCACAGCTCAAAGAGGAGTATCAGAACACTCTGCCTGTAAAATATCCAGTATTGAAATTATTGTTGCTCTTTCCTTCAAACTAAAGCAGTCATGAAACCCTCAATGCCTAAAAATACCAGTGTACACCAGGAGGTATGTTGTCCAGGCTTTCTTAGCCAAAAAAAGTTTCCTTTTCCTATGGGCTACATGAGGAATCTGTCATACTCTAATATGTCTTATTTTTTCTTCTGAAGCTGGTTGCAGTCAACAGAGACCCCTGTGTTTTACATCTAGCTGCTGTTTGTTTGTTTGAACCCCTGTTAGTACAAGCTGGGAGCCCTAGTAACCTCTTCCTGGTCCCTGGTCAGGCTTTCAGGACAGCTTACTGTTACTAGCTTTTCAAAAAAGCTCATTGCAGACTGTTTTACCAAGAGGTTGACATTTCCCATGACCAAATGGGCAGCAATTTGTTGCAAGTGTGAAAAGGATGTTAAAGATCTTGTCCCACTGGGAAATTCTTAGGAAAACATACAAAGGGAATAGTTTGTACTGTGACTCATTTACTTGCTTGTTGTCATTGCAGAAAAGTGAATTTATAGGAGCTATCTGAAGCATAGGCTTGGGAGGCTATGAATATTTGTTACTGGGGATGGAGCTGGGTACAGAAGAAGTACACAGAGGAATGAGAATATTGTTGTCAGTGAGGCTATAGAGACTGAGCCATTTATAATGGACAAATTACATCTTCAAACCCATTTTGCAAAACATGGTTTTCATGACTAATTCCACACAAGTAGCAAATAATGCAGTCATTCTTTTTGAATAACTACCTTTAATCATGCGTATGGGCATGCATTGCTATGCTTCCACCATATTTGTGTCTAGTGCCTAGGCATGTTGAAAGACAATCATGTCCATTGATTTTTGTAAAATTGTAACAAGCTTTGTTACCCTGATAGTAAACAAAGACTTAGGCAAACTTATATCCAGATTTCTACAGGTTATATGGAATATTAAGATTATACACCAGAAAAAAGAAAAAATTATATCTGCTGTCTTGTCAAACTGGCAAAGCACAAGAACTTGATTTGGTTATTAGAAGTCATTTGTGGTGGTGGGAGAAGCTTCCATAGCAGCCCGAAGGTGATCAGGCATCTGCTTATTGGGACAAATATTTTGGGGTATCCTCTGCTGAGGCAGCTGAGTCTCTTGCACCTGCAAGTTGCAGTACTCTGGCTGCAGAAGATAGCTGGTACTATTTGGGAGCCTGACAACATAATGCGAAAATAAAGATTTAAGTTAGCAAAGTGGTCCACCTTGAAAATCATTTGGACTCCTAAGTAGTTGTATTTCACTTTGATTGGCTTTTTAAAAATGTGTGTCTGTAAATAGGCATGAGGAAATTAC